GCCAAAGTGCTTGCTCATAGGGGGTCATATGATTGTTGGGTTTTTCTCTGTATCTATGAAGCGCCTTGAGGCAACTTTTGTTGTGATTTGGCGCTATATAAATAAAATTGAATTGAAATTGAATTGAACTTGTCTCTCAATAAAAATATTTTAAAAAATAAATAAAAAATGTGGACCTGTGGGTTTAGGACCAAACATCTTCATTACGGTCTTGTGTGTCCAAACGACATTGTTCAGGAGTCTTGAGCTTTGTTCAGATCCAACTTTGCAAGCCTAAGCCATGCTGCCATGTTGTTTTTAAAGAGAAGAGGCTTTCTCCTAGCACCCATTCCCAAAAAGTCCTATTAGTTCAGTCTCTTTTTTTTCCTGTCATGAACATTAACATTTAACATATGAGGGCTGTGTGCAGGCAAGATAGGGCCCAAAGTGCTGACTCTCAGAGACTTTATTGCTGAATACCATAACTAAACTGAAAACTAAACAGACAGGCTGGCCAACAAAACACACAGCACAGCGGGTAAAGACTGAGAACTAAAATACACAGGATGGAAAACGAGGAGATAGGAAACAGGTGGAAACACAGCTGGGACTACCGGTAATCAGACAAAAAACGAGATGAGGAAAACCAAAACTAGACACACTGCAGATAGGGCAGAGCATTCAAAATAAAACAGACGTGTGGAACACAGGAAGGGGCACAGAAACTGGACAGGAAACCAAAAACTCAAAACACAACCATCCTAAGAAAACAAAAGTACAAGACTCAAAACACCAGGTCACCGACCCAGGACCGTAACGCTAAATGAGGCCTGTAGAATTTGACGAGTAGCTCTTGGGTTTTTTGCAGTTTCTCTGAGCAATGCACAGTCTGGCTTTGGAGTGAATTTGCTGCAATGTCAACTCCTGAGAAGACCCTGTAAGAGTACAGAAAGTCACAGTAGGAGTACACTTAGTTTCTCACCTTCTTTGTCACTGCACAGTGTTGATGTTGTCACCCACTCATCAGTGAATTCTGATTAATTTCATCAGTATTTAAAGTTGCACATAGAATCATTTATTGCATCACTGTGAGACAGGACTGCATGTTCAATAGATTATTTCCAGTTCAAATGGGGAAAAAAAACAGCTCTAATTTAAGTAGAACAGATCCACAGTTTCTTTTTTGCTCCATCACCAAGAACAGCTTGATTTGCTCATTGTTGTAAATAATAAAAGATGCACTATAGATAGAATATAAAAAGGATGTTGCTATTTTCGTTGACTAATTACTATGCAAACCAATCACTTTTTTACAGATTTAGTATTTAATTCTTTGCAAGAATATGTACTATATAAATGTTTTAATTATCAAATGAATTTTATCTCAAAATATTACTTTAATCCATTCACTTTGTAATCAAATGACAAAATTAAAATGATGAAAACAATGATGAAATAAAAAGAAACAACAATGTAACAGATGTACTATGATTTCATGGCTGGTAGGATAAATAATTAGTTCTACAAACAGAAAAACCCTTTAATGAATGAACCTCTCTGTCAGTTCCTAAATATTTCCACAGCTCTGATATGTGGGAGTCATCTTGGAAATATCGATTCCTTTATCAGTCAGCAACTGCTTGGCGTAATGCACCGTCTCTGAAGGCAGGGAGGGTGACCGTGCGAGAATCCAGGCGTAGTAAACGTGGAATATGCGCAGAATGTCTGTGCAGGAGTACACAATGGTGTAGTTGGTGTAGTTTGTCTCCAGCACCCAGTATGGGCTATAGGGTGTAACTGGTAACAGAAAGCACAGCCACAGAAAGATAAAATACAGACAATAGCAAACTTTTATATGGGTGAGTTTGCAAATGATTTAGATTTGTAAAGCAGAATTGATGCAACATGATATACATTACTCCAAATACAAAGCCTTAAAGAGTAAAATGACAAAGCCACTATATATGAGGTCTAATGATCCATACAGCTGCAGTAAGATCTTGGTCCACATTGCCCCTTTGCTGCATTTAGATGTCAAACAGAGCATACAGTGACACCTTTGGTCATCTCAGGATCATGTCTCCGATTTGAATTTGTTATCCTGCTGACTTGTTGACTAATGATCTCCAGCTTGCACTAAAGTGGTGTGTGTCCTAGTGTGAAGTGTTATGGATGACACTTAGCACCTTGGCTGCAAATTGCAGATCTGCGCTATCATCCGATCCAAAAGGTGAATGAGTTTGTTAGTTTTTTGTTGTTGTTTTTTTAAACATGAATTTCCCAGCTAAACTTGAAGTTGTGAAATGGTATACCACTACATTTGATTACTCCTTCCATCTTTAATATTCAGTTTTTGGTCAACTGCGTGACATTGCCATCTCTTGGTTGCTGGCATTCTCAAAGCCCTAAATAAGGGGCACCAAATTGTTTCTGAGAGGTCACTGGCACTGAAACTACTTCCAGCTGTTCCCTTATTCACAAAGGGCTCCCACAGCAGCTGGTTCCACATGTCTCATTTGGCAGGTTTTTACACCAGTTGTTCATCCTGACACACCCCCAAACCCTCCTAGAATTAAACCACAAATCTTTTGCTTGCAAGGTGAATATTTAAGCTACTACACTAAAGAACCACAATCTATCTCTACCAACGCTACAGAGAATGATTTTATGGTCATTTTTAATGCGGTCCAATAAAAATGCCATCAGTTATGTACTTTTTTTGCCCTTTAATGATGAAAGAGCACTTTATGATTTAAATGGGATGATAACAAAATACTTACAATATGAGAAGGAAACTCCAAGCTTAGCTGGTTCTTGTCGGTCTGGAACCACAGCTGTCCCTTCTAAAAACTCCCTTTTACCACCCCTGAGACACACAGATACTGTATGAGTTTATCAAGCAAATTACTTGTTACCACAATCAATTACAGCAAATTAGACAAAATCTCTTTCCTTTGTGCAAACTTCTGTCAACAACATTCGGCACGAGCAAGCACCCTGTGTCATTACAGCAAACGCCACATGAGGTGTGCCGCCACCGAGCCTTCAGTCAACAGTTCAGGGTCAAGATGTTAATCATGTCACTCAGGTTTGTTTTCATTCTCCTCGTACGATACATAAGAAGAAAGGTGCCTAGTGTACACGTTAAATCCACACCCTGAACTGCACCTTGCAGGGGAAAAAAAAATACCCGTCATTGTTGCCAATATTGAGGTTTGTTTGGTGAAAGGTTTTTTTGTCTTTGTTTGTTTTTTCAGTGATGTACATATTGATACAGCAAATACACAGGTGCAATAATAAAACATCGATTCACTGATCCACACCACCAGGATATACAGCAATGACATCGGAATGTCGTTCGGGCTGGAGAAGTGTAGTGGCTGGACTGGTCGTCCGTGCAAAAACATAATGAAAATCAATTGCCATGTTATCACCTGTTACAATTAAAGTGGTGTTTTCCTTTAGTAAACCACAAGTTGCTTACTACTTACACAACCTGAGAGTTCAACACTCGGATGGTCCCATCTTTCCTTACGGAATAATTCGCTTCAATGCACTGTCCTCTGGCAAAAGAAGCAGGCAGCTTCTCAATCTCATACCACTTATCCAGGTACTGTAAATAAAGATGAACAATCATTTCTGTTCAGCTCTTTGCTTACTTTGTATGTATGTATACAGAATACTGTTTGTGCTCACCAGCTGAAGGCTGAAGTTAGACTGCACCTTCGGAGTAGGGCAGGCACCAAAGCGAAAAGTCTGAGCTGAGATTGTGGGGACCAGCAGGAGGAGAAGGTAGACAGCAGACATGGTTCCTTTAGGATATGATAAGGTATGTTACACAAGAGTTGCACCTACAGCTCATCCATTTTGTCCACTGGCAGTTTAATACAGCAGGCTGTACAGTGCAGTATTTGCAGGAAATACTGAAATCCATTTTTAAATGGTAAATTAATTTATTAAGGGAAAAAAAATGTTCAGATCTATCTGGCTCTATGTTAAAAAGTAATTCTCTCCCTGTTTTCTTGTTATTTAGAACTACTCACATACTCTCACTGAGTATGCCAATTGCTGTACTACTGGCCTGCTGTTGAATCAGTTAATGTTCATTAAAGTATATCTGGAAAGCACTCTCTGGGCCCCACTCTCTGATCGGAGTCCTTGTCCTGAGGGAGTTATCACACCAGCATCCCAGAGATAACTCTCTAACACTAACCTAAGAACGGATTGTGTCACCCTTGGCAGCAAGAACTGCATATCAAGTGTTTGTGATAACTGGCAATGAGTCTCTCATACACTTTGGAAGGATTTTGGCCCACTCTTCTTTGCAGAATTTTTTATATTCAGCCACACTGGAGAGTTTTGAGCGCAAACAGCCCTGTTTAGGGTCATGCCAAAGCATCTCAGTCAGATTTTAAGTAGCCCATTCCAAAACCTTCATTTATTTATTTCTTTATATTTTTGAGCCATTCAGAGGTGGACTTGCTGGTTTGTTTCAGATCATTGTCTTAAGTATAACCCAAGTGCTTTTGAGCATCAGGGCACAAACTGATGGTCAGACATTATCCTTCGGGATTTTCTGCTAGAGAGCAGAATTGGGTTAGAATGTTAGTATGATCTTCTTTTTATAAAAAGCTTTGTTAGTTTTAGATCTGACATAAAAAGGCACAAGACTTCCAAAAAGTTCATTTTTTGTCTTGTCAGTGGACAGAATATTTTCCTAAAAGTTTTGGGAATCATGATGGGTTTTTTGGGGGGTAAATGTGTTCTTTTTTGTTCAGCAGTAATTTTTGCCTTGGAAGTCTCTCATGGATGCTATTTTTGTCCAGACTTTTTTTTTGTAACTGTATCAGCAACATTGACCTTATCTGAGGCAAGTGAGGCCTGGAGTTCTTTAGATGTTGTCCTGGGTTCTTTTGTGAGCTCCTGGGTGAGTCAGTGATCTTGGACTAATTTAACCTGGGAAGATTCACCAGTGTTCCAGGTTTTCCTCATTTGTGGATAATGGTCTCAATGTGGCTTTGTAACCCTTTGCAGACTGATGATGGCATGTCAATGACTTTGTTTCTCATCTTCCGTTGAGTTGCTCTAGATCGAGCCATGACGTGTTGCTTTTCGAGATCTTTTAACTGATTCTATTCAAGTAATTTCTTGATTCAACTGCTCTGACAGTAATCATGTCTGGATAATGCATTTTGTATTTAATCAAGTTATCTTTAGTTAATAATAAACTTTACTTGCTGTGAAACATTTAAGTGTGACAAATGTGCAAAGTTAAGAAATCAGGAAGGGGCCAGATACTTTTTTCACAGCACTGTATGTTCACAAGAGTACTGATTGAATAACACTGCAAACAGCCGGGCCCCAGGTTTATAAGATATAAAGCAACAGACGAAGAGATATATGTGAACATTTGACCAAAACTATTGACCCTAGATTATAAAACCTTTGTGTACACAGCTAGCTAACAGGTGGTACAATCTACACCTATTATTGAAAACTCTCATGATGTAAACAGCTGCACTAGCTGACATGTTTTAAAGCATATTCTTATGATAATTATTCTTATTGGTAATTGGTTTTGGCTTAAATGGCTGACATCTACTACCAATAATTTTATCCTACAAAGGGAGCTTATGCAGGCGAGCACAGTGTCTTGTGATTTACGGGATGAATCAGTTTGAAAATACTGAACCCATGTTGTCGATCACTAAATCACTGTGATTTTACTTTCCACAATAATTAGCTAACACGACATAACACACTTTTCAGCTTTCATTTATTTTGAAACTGTGTTGTTGTTGTTTTTTAGATCTGGAATGTAAAAATGTTTGTCTGTTTAAATGTGCTGTGGGCTGTAAATTACACCATCATGAAGATCACCACAAAAGGGTTCAGCAATTTTTCATAGTGTATGATTGAGGTTTATTTATTTATTTAACAGAATTTAGTGGGCTACATATTGAACTTCTCAATATCCCCCTGAGCTGACTTCTTTCTAATGTGGAGGAGTGGCGGATTCGCTCCACTCAATCTAGGCCAAAGAGCCTAATAATCTCTCAAGTGTAATGAAAATTTCAACCACATAGAGGCAGTATTCTACTAGTATGTGTGCTTGATTTTTACAAGAACTGGGTTTGCTTAAATAAAGCAGGGATGTGTCATGTAAGAGTCAGGGCAGGATTGAATGTTACCCTGACTTAATGTGGTTTAAAAACAGAAAGTAGTATTAGTGAGAGTCCAGCCCATGTCAGGTTCAGGGTATTGTTTTAACACAAAACAGCATGGCTGGTTTTAGTAGTTTAAAAGCTTTCAAAGTTAAGTAAATGTTTTAAACACGAGTGTTTTGTAAAAAGAATTTAACTTTCAATGGTAGACACCGTGTATACACAATACTTGCTTTTTGTTTGTAATTGTTTGCATTGTTTTACTTTATTTTACTTGAGAAAATCTCTGCTGCTCGGTGTTTTAGTTTCGGAAAGCAAACAGGTTGTTTGTCGCACCTGTTACACCTGTTCTTCTGGTGTCACGTAACAAATTCCTGTGGGACTCAGGTGCTGCTTCTTCTCAGTGCTATGTAACAAGAATGCAAATATTTGAAATATATCCAAAGACGGGATTCCAGAATATTATTAAAGAAAAATCACAGTAAACTCTCATCTAAGACAACGGACGGTTAAACCAACGAGAAGAAAAGAAGATCAAACCGTAGAAAATAATCTTTTGTTTTGTTATCTAAAAATTGAATAAATAAAACAAAACAAAACCAAAAAAAAACCTTGCCAAATAAACGCATGCCATCTTCCACTTTCAGATAGGTGCTCTTTTCGTTTCGTTTATTAAAGTAAATAACTCTGTCTTACCTGAGCGGTGCACAGGCGTCAGGTCAGATGGAGGCTTGCAAAAAGTGAATGTCTCCAGCTCTACGGAAAAACACGGGCTCACCTTTACATTACGTCACGCGAAGCAGAGCTTTTACTTTCTCGGCAGAAAGTACAAGTCGTGCGCTTTATGTGGAAGGACCGTGACAATTGTGCATCTTGGTTCATGGTTATTGCAGCTTTTGATGATTTGGTGCAATGACAGGGCAAGGCTCCGTCTTTTGCAAAACATACAATCAATAATAATAAAGCAAAATATGCTAATTGCCTTGCTGTGTCAGTGTAGTAAAGCATCCATTCAGACCCCACAGGGTTGATGTTGTCAGCTCTGATTCGCTTCTTCCTCATAATGGAGTTTACTTTTATGTATTTTGAATTGTTCAACACGCTTATGTATGCTGATTACGGAAGTGTGAGGCTCATCGTTATGTCACCCAGAAACAGGAAGTATAGAGTTGCCATGGATACCGTGAGTACTGCCGTACTGTGATGGGAAACGACATTTAATAAGCCATTATTTATTTATTTATTTATTTATAACACATATCAAGAAATGAGCGAGATTTATATCATTTTTATCTGCGTCCTAAACTCCAGCCTTCTAATTCTAGGTTTAAAAAAAGAAGAAAGGAAAAAAAAAACAATCGCGAGGCATTAGAGTAAATATAGTGAATGAAAATGTCCTTCATAATGAAAACAAACTCCATCTCACTCTATTAAAAAATGAGTAAAATAAAAAAAGAAATTCTTCAGGAGCAGTTTAATCCTCTAAACCAGTTTTCATGCTGTATTTGTTAATATAACTTTATTCTGATTTTAACCACATAAGTAGATTTTTAACTAGCCAAGTAAGACAGGGTAACGACACCCATTCAAACCTTTACTCTGATCAGCTCTGATCATTACAAAAGCAGAGAGCTAAGTAGTATCTGTCATATACTGGGTTATGTTAGTGCCTACATTGAGCCGTGGGGTATTGTGGATTTACGCCATATGATATGCTTTTGCGGCAGGGCTGTCTAGTAGTTTATTCCTAGCTGTCGTACCCGTTGTTGTGTTGTTCTAAGTGATGGATGCTGAGCTGCTGATAAGGAAAGCTACCGAGTGGTCATTCTGCAGTATCCTTTGTGTTTTCATTTAGCTCTTCTGGTGTTTTACTTGTTGAAATTCATGCTCCGCGAACAGCTTCACTTTCCAAATTAGTTCTTCCCAACTAATAACGGAAGAGAAAACAAAAGATGGGCCAGAAAAGAAAGTAGTTCTTTTCGGAAGAAAAAATAGAAAAATCAAAAAAATTAAAATTCATCAGATCCTTTTGGTTTACTGTGCAACTTATCCTACAATTTCATTCTGTTTTATTCT